AACAATCCTGACAGGACCATTCAAAAGATAAGACGTCCTCATCCTACGCATTCCAAAGATTCCTACACATATGACATTTCAATTCAGCAGACTTCAATTCCTTGTTTGACTGGCTTTTGCGATCACAATCAGCAAAGCACAAGGACAATAATTAGAATTGTGTGGCAATTAGAATTGTGAGACACTGAATGCTTCGCACTTGCTGAGTAGGAAAACCACACAATCTCTACATCAACACTGACAAAGGAACAAGAAAGATTGTTTACCCACAACCTTTAAGAAATAAAATATATTAAAAACAAGCACTTTCTCATTACTTAATTTTACATACCACCAGACTATGCTACAGCAACACGTGGTTGGGTACAGCTAGTATATCATAAACCTGTTTCAATTTGTTAAGGTGGATTTTCATGCTATATTAAAGTTTTTGCATAGAGATTTTGATTTGGTCTCACAAACTTTGTGTATAAAGGGATGACACCCATGAAGCATCTGTTGCTAAACAAGTGGAAAATCAAACTCTTGCTATCAGTCATAATTCAGTGCTCAAACAACTATATCACTGTCTCCCTAAAGCAGGCACGGGCAAACTTTAGCCTTCCAGGTGTTTTGGACTCCAACTTCCACAACTTCTAACAGTTGGTAGGCTGCTAGGAATTGTGGGAGTTGAAGTCCAAAACACCTGGAGGGCCGAAGTTTCCCAATGCCTGCTCTAAAATATTATTACAAGGAATACTGCGTAATTATAAGGTTGATGTTAGTACAAGCAAATTCAGGTAATCACCATCTACAATAAAATGTTAGCATAATGTGCATATGTAGAATACATCTCTAGGAAAATTAATTTAAATGGTATTATGCCAGGAAAATGAATATTGATTAATAAATTTGGCTGGCTGAAAGAAAAGGAATATATTCCATATGCTTGTAATTTGTAAAAACAAGCCTGAAATAATGAGACCAACAAAAGCCCATTGAAATTCTGGGCTTTTAAGCATAATCCAAATAATTTAAATTTGTCTGCATGTTAATAACACCATCACTTAAGTTTAGTATTACAAGACAATTCACTGTCACGCACCAGCTTAATAGCTAATGAGGACATACCAATGTCACTTGGAAAGATGGTGTTATTAGATTTCATTGCCATGTTCTCATAATGCCACATCATTTCATCACTTAAGACAGGGATTTGTTTGATCTATTTAGGAGGCATTGAATTCATGGTCACAACCCTATTAAAATGCAGGAACAATGGAATTTCCCCCATCTTTTCTTCACTAGAGGAGTCCTGGGTTACTTGAATGGCTAATAATTGCATAGCTTTTAGAATGCTTCTACAATTGTCACCTTGAAATTTAGCCAAAAGTGAAACATAAAAGCCATGCTATGTGAAGTGGAACAGCAGAGGATAAGGCCTTTGCTGGCTGTTCATAATGATGGTTTCTATTATTAGAGCCCTCATGGCACAAAATGCTCACTGCTGAAAAACTCAAATTATTTTATTTATTTGTTGAATTTCTAGTGAAGAGGAAAGACAGGTGCTACTGTGCTCATGTTTTGAGTGTTCATATTAGATCATCAGTTTGCTAACTGTATTAACCATTGGTCTAAGGTTGCTAGTTCAGAAGCATCCCAGAGATTGTTCTACCCCACATACTTAATAGAATGAGGGACATTTAATCTAGCCTAATTGCTTTTAGTCCTAAGGTGGATCCAGAGCAGGATGAATCCTGGCACCGAAATGGGTGGGAAGAGACTATATAGATCCCTTTGAGAATCTTTACAAGTTGCAGTACAAGTCAATTCAAGTCTTAAGAAATTGTAACTGGCTGCTACTCTCCTATGGTTGTAAACATAGCCCTTTCCTCTTGGAATCCATAAACACTGGAGAATTATGAGTAGCATCCTCGTCTCCTACTGGGAGATGTTCCAAGAAAACTGGAGAATCTGGCAATGCTATTTTGGTTTTATGTAGTAGTCTTCTTAATGGAAAAAAGGATACAGAAAACACTTATGAACATTGTAATTATTTGAATTATGAAACTATTATTTTTTCTTAGTAAAAATAGCACTGCTGGATTTTATGATAGCAGATATTTCAAAAGTGAATCAAAACAAATAGGTTAAATTACCAGATATGTGGATCTAATAGTAAATGGCACCTATATTCCCACTCATGCATGTAGAATTGACAGATTATCTTTCCTGTCTCGTATTCAAAAATACAATCAGAACCACCTGTTTGCACTTCTTGTTAAAAGTAAACCTCTTAGTGGGAAATGGAAGAGGCACTACTTTATAATCTGAAATCTATATCTGAAATCTATATCCAGACTGATAGATTCTGAAGTCCATTCAGCATTCAAGATCCCAACATGATACTTCCTTCTGAAAGCTAAGTATATTTGTGTTTTATCTGGGGGTGGGGTGGGGTGGGGGGAGAGACCTGCCTGGATTGATTCTTCTTTCTGACGGGCTAGCCTGTTGCTCCTCAATCCAACTCTCAGTCAAATCTACCCTCTCTTTCAAATCCAAAATCCTGTCTCTTTATCAGTTTCAAAAGACTCACAGACAAAAGTATCTGCCTTCGTTCACCTACACAGCATCATCTTCAGTCTCCCTGAGCCATGACTGGTTGTCTTCAAGCCAAGGCTGTTAAGCACCTCTTTCACAGTTATTACACTTTTTTTTGGTGCCCCGGATTTCCCTGTCAGCATTCATAAACTCAGGTATTAGGTTCATTTTTTCAAAGCTGTTATTAAAAGGTGTTCAGCTCACCACATTCAAATACTGTACAACTCCAAGGATCTGAAGCTAAGCTCCTTCTATCTAAAACTATCTTGGTTTTAATGTTTTTAGTCAAGAGTTTTAAGAGCTTATTATGTTGGGAATGTGTGTGTGGTGTTATGTTTATTTAAGTCTGCTATTTAAATAATTTTTATTGAGTTTGTTTACCCACTGTTTGAGATAGTGCGGGTTATAAATAAGGTATTACTTACGATTTATTATTATTCTAGAATCTGAAATGGAGGTTTATTCCGTCACCATTGTGTTAGTATTCCTTTGGTCAAAACAAGCAAGCAAAGAAACAAAACAAAAACAATGCAATCTAACAGGATACTTCCATCATTGCTTTTTCTTTTACGACTAATCATCCAAACCCTATCCATTTATTTACACTTAGTTTGTAGCTTTCAATCCTCTTTTCAGCCTTTGCTTCCTTTGTGTCTCAATTTCATTCTTGTCTGCTCCTGACCATGCTTGTTTATACTTGTTTACATAAAACCAATTTCCATTTATCTGTTGGGTTTCAAATGGAATTCTAGACAAGACGCCTGTGCCAATTGATTCTATTATTGCCTTCCTTTACTATCTTCCCCTCACAAGTCTCACCCTATATTATTACCATTATATATCTTTTACATACTAATTAGACTCAGATAATGGTGGGTTTTTTATTTCAACAGTTTTGATGATGAGAGCAGAATCTTTGGAAAATGCAGCACCACAACATGTGATAGGTCCTCATTTCTTCTGGCTCATTATAAAGGCCAGGACAGGACCGGCTGAATGGGTAAAGGAAGTGATTATTGCCTCTTTATAATAAGATGGTGTCCCAACATACCTCAAGACAGTAGTTGTAAGAAATCTATTGAAAAAAGCCTTCCTAGAACCCTACTACATTACACAATTATTGACCAATAGTCAATATTTTATTTCTGATCAATGCAGATACATGTGGTAACATCACAACTCCAAGAATTTCTCAATGAAACAGATTACTATGGTTCATTTCAAAATGACTGATCATGGAGCACATATGGCTTTGATCATCTTGATGAATAACCAATGCTTGGAACTGAAGAGGGAGTTTTTTTCCCTGTTGGGCCTGCTGGACCTCTTGATGGGTATTGATATTGTCTGGATTTCTTCACTGGGATGGGACTTCACTGTCCTACAGTTAAACACCACATTCTTAGATCCCCCTCCCCAAATGAGCTAAGAATATGGCATTTAACTTCTTGGCCATTGGTCTGTGGAGATCTACCCTGTGCTCAAGCTATTTAGCACTAGCATAAAATCACAGGGAGATGTTCCAGTGCCATTACTGAGTAGATAACACTCAGTCCTCTTTGTTGCTTCCCATCTGGCAGGTTTGTGAGTTTTGATTATGTAACATAAAGCCATATATGGTTTGGTCCCTTCTCTTTTGTAGGATGGCATGGTATGAGCCAACAGAGCCTTGAGACCTTTGGGAGAGATCATCGATATGGTTGGTGAAAATATGGAAAAGGATCCCAGTGGCTGTGCCCAGGTTTTGGAACTTTCATCCTAGGACAGATCTCTCCTTTCTGACATTCCATCAGCAGCTTCATGAATACTGTGCTGTTCCATTCAGTTTTACTTATTTTAATGAATCGCAGAATAGAATTATAAAGTTGGAAGAAACCACAAGGGCCATTCAGTCCAACCCCCTGCCATGCATAATGCAATACAGACCTACCTACCTTTAACTAAGAATTTTAAACTCACGTCTTACGTTTATGTATTTTAATGTTTTTTTCCATAAAAATATGTTTTAATGTGTGTATTTTATATAATGTTTTATGATTATCTGTTTTTAGCTATGTTGTGCCCCACCTCAAGCCACAAGGTGGGCAAGAAATTATTGTTGTTGTATTATTATATTTTTAAAGCTATAACATTTTATCTTGTTATATGTTTATCTAAATTTATATCTGTATCTGTAATCATCATAAAGAGAATAATGATAGGAGAAAAAAGGAGAGAAGTCCAGTTGGTATTGTAAATCATTATCCCGTGACAAAAAACCTTGATGGAAAGCAGAGGATTAAAACCTACACACCATTAAAAATGTCTGAAAATATGCAATGGGATTTGATTCCAAGTAAACATACACAAGTTTGCAGCATGAGTGTCTTTAGGCACTTCATTATCACATTCTAAAAGGCTAGAACAGAACACAAGGAGGCAACAGTATACATAATATTTATTGAAAAGAAAAGTGATGGACCATTACTGGAATATAACAGAAAATGCATAATCATAGTCTGTAGAAATTTGTCAGAATAGTACATTTACAAAACTAGCTTCTAAATACTACTACAACTATATGTACGAATACAGGATACATAATTCCTGTTACATACCTTCCTGCTTTTACGTTCTTCATTGTGCAAGATATTATCCTTAGAAATTAAAGTAGAAGTGTCACTAAATAATGCCAGCAAATTTATATGGTGGCAACCCAGAAAGAAGATATGTCCCTGATCCTTTTTCTGCTTTAAAGTATGGCTCTGAAATGTTAAATGCAATACAGCTGGAAGTTATGATAAAGAATTCATTGTCTGTATCACTGCAAAGAAAAAGAATAATGAGTTTCTGTGTGAGAAATATTATTGACTGCAAAATTGGCATTTTCCTTGATTGAAAAGTACCATGAGATGTTGAAGCATTTTTAAAAAGTAAATTCCCATGGTCTAGAGAGCACTTTCTCTATTCCAAACAGATGATGCCATGAATAACTGAGAAAAGCCTAAGGTATGAACTTCTGTTTCAATTCATTGTAATGTATAGCATTTTAATAATACAATATGGGTAAAAATCCAGGTTCACTTCATGACTCAGGTACTCCTATGAGCCCTCTTTAGACTAAATCATGTGGCTGAGAAACTTTTATTAAACATGCTTCTTTTTCAAATCTAAACATGTCATTGTAAAAATGGTATGAAGAATAAGTAGTTGGGGAAAATGCCATGGTGCTGACTGGTGTTAAGGCTCTGGGAGTTTGATAAGACAGGGATTTTCTTTCGAGGTAAGGAAAAACAAAGAACAAAACGAGAAGAACAGAAGTTACAAAAAACATTGCAGTATAGAGTACTTTCACTCATGGTTTCAGTAACTCCTACTGATCCTTGCAATTTTTTCTTTTCCTCACTGAAGATGCCTAGTTCTCACTAGGCTATTGTTGCAAAAATTCCCCAGATACGTTTATATATTCAACAGATTATGCATGTTGACTAATAATGGCATAAAAAGAGTTTATACTATTAATCTGATTATCTTTTTCATGGCTCTATATGTATGTGCATGGTCACTGGAATTTTATATTATCAATAATGCCCATCAAGGAAATGATTGGCAAAACCTATTTTCTATCGTTATGTAAAATGTGTTGGTGGAAGAGGTAAGAAACTGAACAAATCACACTTTTCTACTGAAACTGGAATATAAAAGCTGTTTTTGTACAGAATTATGACATCTAAGATGATTAAGCAAATATTATACAAACTCTCAATTTTATTTCTAGCCACATAATGTAAAATGTCAGAACAGTTATCAATAATAAAAGAAAATAACGTCATGTACATAGGAAAATATTTTTAAAAACCAGGAAAGAAAAACAAGTGATGTATTGACATATTCAAACAATACATATGAAAACAATAAACAAAATATCAGTAAACAATGAACTGTGTAGGGAATTGACAGCCTCCCTCCCCCGGGTCCCTTCTTTTTCTCTGCATATTTGCAGAGAAAGAAAGTCCTTTGGTTTCTATAATATTTCTACCTTTTGCTATTCCCTCAGAGTAGAGAGCCTTATGGTAGAGAGCCTTATAGGTTGGACATATGTAACCTTTTGGCACAAAAGATAATTTTATAATCAGATGTTGTCTTTCTGTAAATAAAATCTCTGAATTGGTCTTAAATGTGCAGCTGTAGAAATGTTTTTTTAAAAAAAAATGTAATTCCAGAGGCTTGGAATTATACTATTCTTGTTAATGTTTAACATTTAAATTAGACCTCATTTGCATTAGTGTGTGCAAACATTAAAATATAAACTTCAACAAATACAAGAACTTTTTAAAAAAATCTTGTAATGAGTGTGACAGGGCACATACCTTTCGGCTCTAGCTTTATATAAGGAAGTCCATCATACCAAGGCATACATTACTGCTGGTTTTCCATTGGGATTTGTTCAGAAACAAGGCAATCTGTCTCATATTTCTTCTTTAGAGCCTTCAGGTATATTTGCAAGCTGTTTGGATCCAGTTGAGAGTTACGAGCAGTTTGAACTAACATATTTGCTAAACGGTATATAGCCCTCTCTTTTAATGTTTCAGAAGTATTTATTTGTTGTTGCTGTTATTTAAAAGGACAAATATTAAAATCTGAAATTGTTTGACATTTACTGTGCAAGTTAAACAGATGTGATCTTTTCAATGATGCTCTTGTACTGATTGAGTAAACCAATGTAGATTATACACAAGCTTTTGGGAAATGCATGCCAGCAACCATGAATTTATCTTTATTCACACATAAACACACAGCTTCAAAACAAAGGGACATTATTTAATATTGCTATATAGAACAATATATTGCTTTACAATCTGCATTGTCCACTAGCATGCATCTAGAATACAAAATTCTTAAAAATTATGAATTTTATTAATCACTTCTGGAGATAAAGACATTTTGAAATCTAGAAAACAAAAGTAGAAATGTTTTTCAAAACATATTTTTCTAAGACTGAATGGATAGTTGTGTTCTTAGGATTTGGTAGTGCATCAGTATACTGATTACACCTGGTTCTCTTATTATATGAGTATACTGATGAGACCTGGCTCTGAGTCACCTTTGGGCTGATATGGGTGGGGTAAAAATGATATAAATAAATAATATATAAAAATATAAGTAAGTAAATAAATAAAATAATTTAAAGCTTTATATTCTGCCCTTCTCACCCCGAAGGGGACTCAGGGCGGAGCACAATATATATATGGCAAACATTTAATGCCGGAATATAAAATAAACTACAAGTATACATAAACACAAAATCAGTTATCTCCACTTTAAAATCAATTGCTTAAAACCATCTCAGATCATCCACAACGAATCCGGTATTAAGATCTAGATGAAGTCAATTACAACCTAAATTAATACCTGGGCTGGATGAGGATTTACAATTTGATACTTAACACCAACTAGAAAATGGTAATGATGGCAATGTCGAATTTATTTTTCCTGTTACTATCCCTCAAAATAACAAACTGCACGTCTTATGTGTCCTTCTAGTCCCCATACTGCTACTGAATTCCCTGATGACAAAACTCATGTCAACTGATGTACTAGATGGAGCCTGTGACTGATTTAGGATTGTATTTCAGTCATCAGTATATTGATAATGTTTAGATCATTGCAATGTGCTCTCTGTGGGGATGTCTTTCTGAAGACAGCTTAGAAGCAGCTAGTAAGGCATGTTGTTTCTAGTCTCTTACAGGATTAAGCTTAGGGAGCCACATTACTTCTTTTCTGGAGTAATATAGTCTCAAATGCTTCCATTACCAATTCCTCCTTTGTACTGTAAAAATTAATCGTGAATCACCATTGCTATTCACAAGTAGCCCTTCTTCCATCAGCGACTTTCAAGAGGAATTTCCATGCTATCTCCTTTTCCCTATGAGGGAATGGCTAGAGTTGTACAGTAATAGTTGGAATGGTCCTATCTTACCACATCCCAAACTTCCATCTCCTCATACTGCCAATTTATCCATGGTGCCATAGTGTGACAATACTGTGTCACCACTTAAGGGCAAATCTCCTGAGGCTGTTTTCTAATGGACATGTATGCAAGGATTTGTGTGCCTTCCTATGAAGGGGAAAAGACCTACAATTCTCCAATGAACTGTCCAGGCTTTTACACAGATATATAAAAACAATAAACTGTTGCCCTTCAGGGATTATAGTCTGTCTCCCACCCCTGAGAGGTGAGATGTTTAACCAAGACTTAGAAACTTGGAGATCAGATTAAAAATTAGATCCTGAGAAACAACATGACAGCAAATGTACAAATGACAACATATTTTGGCACTTAGAGTAATAATACCCAAATGTTAAGGAACATATTATGTAGCATCTGATAAAGTATGTATGTGTGTGTGTATCCTTTTCTTATCAAACTTTTATTCACAATTCAGTGGATTTTTTGTTTGAAATTTGGGATTAAAAAAAGCATATTCTGTATTTCAAAACAAATTCTAACAGGACCTATTTTCAAGTATATGTTAGGAAAATATGTAAGACTAACAAATGTACTGTACTCTAGGAATTACATGTTATATTCTGCATTACTACATACCATCATTTGTCTAGAAATAAGAGTTATGATCTCTTTAGCATCACATATTATCGATGGAGGAAGAGATGAAACCTCTGCAGCCTTTAATCCTAATAACAATATTAACAACATTGTTTAATTTTTTACCTATGAATTGAAGATTAAAATACAACAAAAACAGACACACAAGACCGTTTAAAAACACAAACACCAATTAAAATACATATTCAGTTAAAAGAGAATAACATTGGTTTAAAATCACGCATACTAAAAACAATCAATTTATGATTTTAAAATTCATCATTTAAAAACCTTCTTGATAGGTCTGCTGGGGAAAAAAACTGGACTTTAACACTGTTTATGCACAGCACATCTATTTGCTGAATCTCTTTCAGCAAGTCATTCAACAATTTGGGGGCAGTTAAAACAAAAGGCCTCTGCCTAATGGTTACCAAGTTGATTCTAGTTGATCAAAGTAAATGTTCCCTATATGACTTGACATTATGGGGTGGTTTATACAGGAGAAGACAATCTTGAAGGTAACATGAAATCAAAGCATGTATGATTTAAAAGAAGTAAAAAAAAAACCCAAAAAACAAAAAACACTTTGTCCTTTGCCCAAATGCTAACAGCAGCTGGATATATACTTTGATCCCTTAAAATCAGATAATCAAAATGTCTGTTTAGCACTGTTACTGCTGCAATATCTTGATCTCTTATCTATAGTAAAAAAATAAGAGCTAGGCAACTATACTGCAGCTACACATGCATAACCTGGAGTTACGCATCTGTAGATGCTCCATATTCATTAGCACTACATAGTACAATATCACATTACAGCTCTAACATGCAAGTCCATGTTTCCCTATTGCCTCATTTGCTCCTGCAGAATTCTGGGAAATATAGTTTAGGGTGGAAATCTCAGCCAGAGAAATCCTCGGCTTCCCTAAATTACGTTTTCCAGAATTCTGCAGGAGAAATCCGGGCAATAGGGAAATGTGGACCTGTGATTTAGAAGTCTAATGTGATATCATCCACAGTTGCTATTATGACATTATTGACACAATCATAAACACATTCGAAAATTCATGTTGCAAATACATTAAAAATATTAACAATAACACTAAAAATTATTACAACCACATAAAACAGTAGCTTCCCATGGAAGGGAGATTCAGAAGGTGGGAGCAGTCACTAAGGAGGATCTTATGTCCTCACCAAGCGAGCCTGTGATGGTTGTGAAACCAAGAGAAACCTTCTCCTGTAAAACTTGGGGTTATGTTTGTTTTGTAGGGGGAGATACACACAGTCTGGACTTAAACTCTATAGAACTTTATGGTTCATGACCAGCACTTTTAATTGAGCTTGGAAGCAAACTGGTAGCCAGTGTAACTGTTTTAAGAAGTTAAATGCAATAACGAAGTGGCACATGCCTAGTTCAATCAGCACATGGGAGTTCGATGACAGAGTCTTTTCCCAGTTTGGTTATATTTCTGCATTAATAGGTTGTAGAACTGAATTTTTCACTTGGAAAGAGGGAAGGGAAAATGGACACTATAACTATGATGCTGTTATCAGTTTGTTACTACATTTCATTCATAACAACCTCATTACTAACGTTTTCCTCTCTACATCTATCTGTATGATATACCTGTCAACTGAAAATAACATTCCATTTGTTTAAAGAAGTGGACCCTGGTTCATGAAAGCTTATGTGTTAAACAATTTATCAGTCTCATAAGACTCATTGTTTTATTGTAACCATCATTCTTTCTTTGCAATGATATTGTAAATATCACTCAAAAAGAGAAGTGAAGCTGAGAAGAAGCAGAATATCTTGCAAAATGGAGAGACTAATGACAGCAATAATAATAAGTAATGCTGAGAAGATAATACAAATCTGAATGTACTACTGCTTTAAAAACATACACATATAAACAAGATGTCTTAAATACAATGTCACACTGGTGCTGCAGCACCAATGTGATTGAATTTCCTTCCTTCCTCCTCTTATCTATAATAGCCCTTGGAGATGTCCAACAAGCATCTTCAGAAGGTTTCCCAATCCTCCAGAGTAGATTCCAGAGGACATGGAGCAGGGGCTAAAGCAGATAGGGGAGGTATCCCTCTAACCAGATATGCTATATTCATTTTGAAAAATTCTAATAAGTAATATTGTATATTACCATAGTTTTTTTCTTCTGTATGTCCCTTAGAAAGCATATAGGTATAAGCAATTTTCTCCCTGATATCGGAACTACTTCTCACATGCTGTACTTTGAAGTAATTGTTTTCTGCATTGGGATATAAGGTATCAATTTGACATAATTCCAAGAAATGGGTAGCCAAGAGTGTAAATGCCTGAAGAATAGGGAAAAAATCAAATATAAATTATAGGAAAGAAGAAAAAAGAGAAAACATTTAAAAAAGAAATGAGTGTCTATTGATTAAAATATTAAAATTACCTTCAAATTCAGAAGATATTCACAAACTGCATAACATATGCCAATGCCTTCTTCAGGACTGGTACCTCTGCCAAGCTCATCAATTATGATAAGTGATCTGTCATTAGCATTTTGTATGATATATGTTATCTAGAGAAAAAGACATCAGATTTCATTACTAGCACTAAATGTGAGGATAAAATCTGTTAATGAGGATTTTCATTTCCTGCCCAAAACTCAAGCTAGGAAATTTACTTTGGTGGCATTTTACCAGCTGCCACTTAAAAGCAAAACATGAATGAACACAAGCAGACCAGTTTAGAAGCTCTACGTTTGCTTCTAAGCCAGAAGAGAAAAGTGGCAACAGGTATGTTTAGCTCCTTCTTGAAATGCATTTGTTTTTAAAATCTGCATTTTAGATTTTGTAGGCTCATTGCTTGCCCAAGTACATGTGCTGAGCCTGGAACCCCAGGTTTCGGCGGTGACCAGGGGAGCATTTGCACAATTAAAACTTGTGCGCCAACTGCGACCGTACCTTGGGAAGTCCGACTTAGCCACGGTAGTCCACGCTCTGGTTACATCCCGCCTTGATTACTGCAACGCTCTCTACGTGGGGTTGCCTTTGAAGACAGCCCGGAAGCTCCAACTAGTCCAACGGGCGGCAGCCATGGTACTAACAGGAGCGGGGCGCAGGGAGCACACAACTCCTCTGCTGCACCAGCTCCACTGGCTGCCGATATGCTACCGGGCTCAATTCAAAGTGCTGGCGTTGGCCTTTAAAGCCCTAAACGGTTCTGGCCCATGCTACCTATCCGAACGTATCTCTGCCTATCAGCCCGCCAGGAATGTTAAGATCGTCTGGAGGTGCTCTGGTCTCGGTCCCGCCACCTTTGCAGTCGCGTCTGGTGGGGACGAGAGACAGGGCCTTTTCTGTGGTGGCCCCCCGGCTATGGAATTCCCTCCTGAAGGAAATCAGATCTGCCCCCCTCCCTCCTGACCTTTAGGAAGCTAGTGAAAACCTGGCTTTACAAGCATTCGCGTTAAGTCTGTCACCACCGAATTGCTTGACTAAGGAATGGCTTAATTATGCGCATGACGAATTCTATGCGCATGTGATTTTAATATGACGAGATAGCATAAGGTAATTATTATATGGTCGTGACCCCGCCCAATAATATCGTATTGTCTATGTAGTTGTTGTTGTCAATTTGTATATATGAGTTTTAATAGGTGCATAAACCGCCCTAATGAGTCGCGCCGGACTATTTGCTGAGTATATTAGGCAGGATTTATACATAGTCGTATAAAATAAATATTAAAATTTAAATGATGAAAACACATTTACGTGCTAACAATCCCCATAGGAACTAAGGGTATATGTGGTACATAACAAATTCTAGCTTGGGCAACATATGTAGCACCTCGTGTGAGGCCCCGCCTACATTTTTAGCCTTCCTAACATGAACGTTAGGACTAGTTTCGACCCTAGGAATTCATAAAGACAACAAAGAGGCCGAGACCTATTACCCACAGACACGCCATGTTTTTTTTCTGAAATATTTAAATAAACAAATAGATATAATCCACCTTCAACCAATTCCTCCAGTAGGAGCTTCTGGATTCTATCAGCTTCAATAAACTTATTTATTTGTTGGGGGGGGGGGGGAGAAAGAAGGTGCCTTTATTACATCTTGTTTGGATTATTTTATTTTAAACAGTTATATTCTATCATTTTCACCCCAGAGGAGACTCAGGCTAGAACACAACATACAAACGGCAAACATTCAATGCCAGGACAAAAATAAATTATACACATACATAAGCATTAAAATCATTTATCTCGACATTAAAATCCACTGTATAAAACTGTCTCAATTATTGAAATATAGCTGCCTTTGGACACTTTTTAAAAACTCTTTTAACTGGTCCAAAATGCTCAGCCAGGTTACTTACTGGGGCAGGTTGTTGGGTGCATATAACATCCTTGCTAAAACAACTGAACTGCCTGCTGTTCCGTTTCCAGGCAGAATTTAAAATCCTATGCAGCAAGGACTATGCAGAAGACGTGGATGTTCCGCTGTGCTTTTGACTAGGCAATTCCCTGGATAGCTGGTCCCTATTGGGACCTAAAAATCTTGTCCTCACACTTTCCAAACCTTTAATGACTAATTGTTCTTATCCTTATTGTTACTATAAGATATATGCACTTTACTCACTATTGTTATTGTACGTCCGCCCACCCATAACGAGACATTGAATTTTGCTATTGGTTGTTGGCTCTGATGTCCATTTTATATATTGCTTAATGTTGTTATTTCTTTCTTGTTTATATTGTATTTTGTTACTCCTTTGTTGTTATGCATTTTAATGTGTTATGTTTTAACTGCATTGTTGGGCTTGGCTCCATGTAAGCCGCCCAAAGTCCCTTCGAGGAGAGGGAGGCAGGGTATAAAAATAAAAAAAATTTTTGAGACGCAACAGGATAAGCCCACAGCAAACAAGATCACTCTGCTGGCTGTTGTATTGGATCACACATCAGGAACTTTGGCGAATAATGTGTGCAGATCCTTATTATTATTATTATTATTATTATTATTATTATTATTATTATTTTAGTGTATGTGGCAGATACAGCTTTTAACAGGGGGTATCCACCAGGGTTTGGTTTCGGACTCTTAATGGATACCAAAAAGTCATTAATGTTCAAATGCCATTATATACAATAGCATAGTAAAATAGTGCCCCTCATATAACATGACAAAGCCAAAATTTGCTCCGCAGATTTTTTGAGTGTGTATGGATATTTTCAGCCCATAGATGGTTGAATCTGTAGAGAATCTATAGACAAGGATGGGTGATTCTATTTTACTTGACGTTTCATTGTATTATTATTTTAACTTGTTCTAATGCTGGTTTTAAATGCATATAGCTTAATTGTATTCTAACTTCTGTATTAGTAGATTTTTTAATTGTACTGTGCTTTTAAAATGTTATATGCCACATTGGATCATTTGTTTGGAGAAAGTTAGAATATAAAGAAATCAATAAAAATATCAAACACAGTGGCTGAAACCATACTGTGATCATGCTGCACTTGTACAGCAGGGGAACCAACCTGCAGTCTGACTGATTCTCCAAAAAACACCTGGGGTTTACAATACCTTCTGAAGTGATAGGGGATGTGTCTCAGGAAACTGGAGTGAGAAACTGTGGTTGCTTACCTGTAACCATGGTTCTTCAAGTGGTCCTCTGTGGAATCCACACATGTGGTATTCTGATGCCCACGTGCAGCAGTTCCGGAAATTCTAATAAATTATTAACCAAGTACCACCTCGCCCCTGCTCTCCAGACCACGTGCTCAGAGTCAGTTCCCTGCTGCAAAAGCGGCAGAGCAAAGGCATGAGCGATGTGGGGAGGTCGGCCGGGGATGTGTGGATTCCACAGAGGACCACTTGAAGAACCATGGTTACAGGTAAGCAACCACAGTTTCATTCTCGTGGTCTCTGTGGAATGCACACATGTGGTAGAATAAAAAAGCCACTTACTGTGGATGGTGGGCGTCATGCCAAGGAGGAGAAGAGGACAGCTCGCCCAAATGCCGCCTGGCGCTTCGACAGCAGGTCGATCTTGTAGTGCTGGACGAACGTCAGTGGGGAAGACCACGTGGCTGCCTTACAGATGTCGGCGAGCGGGATGCCCCCGGAGAAGGCAATGGAGGTCGCAACGGCCCGGGTGGAGTGCGCCTTAAGGCCCGGTGGCAGGTCCCTGCCCGAGAGGTCATACGCGAGGCAGATGGTATGTAGAACCCATGCCCCAAGGCGCTGAGGAGAGAGAGGATTGCCTCTGGTATCCTGACGGTACTGGAGGAGGAGACGGGGGGACTTCCGGAAGGACTTGGTGCGGTCCAGATAGTACAAGACTGCCCTCCGGACATCAAGGAGATGAAGGGAGGTCTCCAGAGGGGTAGAAGGGGACTGGAAGAAGGCCGGAAGGACGATGTCCTGCGCAGCGTGGAAAAGGGAGGAGACCTTCGGGAGGAAGGAGATGTCTGTTCGGAGGACTAATTTGTCATGGTGGAAGCGGATGTAGGGTTCATCTGCCCGCAGGGCACAGAGCTCACTGGCACGGCGGGCGGTGGTGATGGCCAGGAGAAACGCCGTCTTCCACGAGAGATGGGAGAGATCAGCGGAAGCCAAGGGTTCGAATGGAGGCCTGGTGAGGGCAGAAAGGACGAGGCGAAGGTCCCACGCCGGAGGAGGGAGGAGACGAGGAGGGTACTTGTTCTTGTAGCCTTGGAGGAAGAGTTGAACCAACGGGTCCTGGAAGGGAGAAGGGAGGCGGCGTCGCTTCCTATGAGCAGCGATGGCCGCGAGATAGCACTTGACCGACGACAGGGCGAGGCCCTTGAGAGCTAAGGAAGCAAGAAAATCCAGGAGGACGGGGGGAGAAGCCGTGAGGGGGTCCGCGCCCCATGCGGAGGCAAAGGCAGTAAAGAGAGCCCACTTGCGGGAATAGGACCGTTGCGTGGAAGGTCGATGGGCCGCATTCAGGATGTCAAGGACCGGCGTGGAGAGGCCCGCGGTTGGATCCTCCAGGCAGTGAGGCGGAGCCACGTGGTGTCCGCGGACCGTGGCGGACCGGTGGCGGACCGTCCCGGAGTGAGTGGTTAAGAGGTCCGGCCATGGGGGGAGCCGACGGTGACAGCCGGCCGCCATGGAGGACAGGAGCGGGAACCAGGGCTGGCGAGGCCAGTAAGGGGCTATCACGATGGCGTCCACCTCGTCGTGGTAGAGTTTGGCGACCACCTTCGGGAGGAGAGGGACGGGGGGAAAGGCGTAGACCAAGGGTCCCGTCCACCGGAAAAGGAAGGCGTCGCCCAGGCATCTGCTGGGGGTGCGGTGAGCCCCCCAGGAGCAGAAAAGGTTGCACTTCGCGTTGGCCCTCGTGGCGAAGAGGTCGACCAGGGGAGTGCCCCACCGTTGGAAGAGAGACGAGGCGACGTCGGGATGAAGGGACCACTCGTGATCCGTGGTGGAGGAGCGACTGAGGAAATCGGCCCGATCGTTGGACAGGCCCGGGACATGAATGGCGACAATATAAATGTCGTGGGCGATGCGCCAATGCCACAAGGCGAGGGTAAGCGTCAAAAGGGCCCGCGATCGAGTACCGCCCTGTTTGTTGACATACCACATGACGGTGGTGTTGTCGGTGCACACCTGGACCACATGATGGGAGAGGAGGTCCCGGAACGCCCGAAGGGCCTTGACGAGGGCCAGCATCTCTAACAGGTTGATGTGGAGCCGACGCTCGGAGGGTGCCCAAAGGCCACATGTGGAGTGGCGGCCCGTGAACGCTCCCCAGCCCGTGAGGGAGGCGTCCGTGGTAAGCCTGCGGGACGGGTCCCGGGGTCGGAAGGGCATGCCCGCGAGGACCGACGATCGGAGGAGCCACCACCCGAGGGAGCGGGCGACGTGACGCGGCAGAACGAGGCGGGTGGACGGCGTGTCGCGAAGATGGTTGAAGTGGCGGAGGAACCAGGCCTGCAGCGGGCGCATGTGGAGGCGCGCAAAGGGGGTGACGGCCGAGGTCGACGCCATGTGCCCCAGGGTGGACTGGACCTGCGAAGCGGGAACTCCAGCGTGACGCGTCAGGGAGCGGACGGAGGTGCGAAGGGCCTCTAAGCGGTCCTCGGGGAGATAGGCAGTGTGGGTGGTCGAGTCGAGCACCGCTCCAATGAACTGTATGGTCCTCGTGGGAGTGAGGTGGGACTTGGTATGGTTCACGACGAGGCCGAGGTCCTGCAGAAGGGAGAGGGTGAAGCGGATGTCGTTAAGGAGGGAGGAGCGCGAGCGGCCCAGGAGCAGCCAGTCATCAATGTACGGGAAGACGGCCACGCCCTGAGTGCGGAGGAAGGCAGAGACAGCGGCCATGCACTTGGTGAATACCCTTGGGGCGGTGGAAATCCCAAAGGGGAGAACCCGGTAGGAAAAAGCGAGGTCGCCTATCATGAAAGAGAGGAACCTGCAGTGAGGGCGGGAGATGGAAATGTGGAAGTACACGTCCCGGAGGTCGATCGTGGCGAACCACGCCCCCGCGGGAATGAGGGGAAGGATGGCGGAGAGCGTCACCATCCGGAAGGTGGGAGAGTAAACGAACGTATTCAGGGCCCGGAGGTCAAGGATGGCGCGCTGGCCGCCACCCTTCTTGGCCACCAAAAAGTAACGGGAAAAAAAGGCTGACGAAAAAAACTGAGGAGGAAGAGGGACAATCGCCCCCTTAGACAACAAGGAGCGGACCTCCTCCCATAACCCCTGGGAGGGGGAAGTAGCCTTCACCACTCCCGTAGGGGGAAGGGAAACAAAATCAATGGCGTAGCCATGTAAGACCACGTCCAAAACCCACTTATCCGTGGTGATGGCCTACCAGGCCGAAAAGAAAGGCACTAATCTGGAACCAAACTGAAAATCCACCCCGGGCACAAGCTGGTGCCGCTCAAGGGCGTCAACGTCCAACGAAAATGGAAAGGCAGCACCGTGCCGTGAAGGGGGGGAACTGTGGGAGAAACCCGGGAGGAGGAGGTGAAGTGGGGGGGGGAGTCAAAAACGACGCCTGCCCCTGCCCTGAAACCGGGGCTTCCCCTGTTGGGGCAGGCGAGCCGGCTGCTGTTGCCTAGGCGGCTGGGGCAGTGGGGTCTGAGGAAAAAGCCTGGTGGGCGCCTGGCCGACGGGTATAGGAAGCAGAGGGTTGCCACCGACCTGCAGACCGAGGCTGCCTCTGGGTCACAACCAAACGTATGGGCCGCCCGGCGGACTTCGTGAGTCTCTTTAAGCTGGGAGTTGGTCTCCGGGTTAAACAAACCCGAGTCATGGACTGGGAGGTTCTCCGCCAAGGCCCTGCCTTCCTCCGAGAGCGTGGATGCCCGGAGCCATGCATGCCGGCGGATGGTCGTGGAGACAGCAAAAAGGCAGCCCGCAGAGTCAGCGGCGTGCTTGGCCATGTCCTTCTGGGCCCTGGACAGGACTAGCGCTTCCTGAAGGATGGCGTCAGCCAACGGGCGGCGCTCATCTGGTAGGTAAGGTGTGTAAGCATTGAGGAGCTTCCACAGGCAGGTCTGATAAGCCGCAAAATAAGCTTCATAGTGTGCCAATCGGGTAAAAAAGGATGCGCTGGAGTGCACCTTCTTGCCGATAGAGTCGAGCTTCCTGCCCTCTTTGTCGGAGGGAGTGCTCTGGGGTTTGAACCGCTTGCCCGGAGTCATGTCCGCCACCACTGTGTTCGGCTTGGGCGGCCGGGCGATCCAGGGAGCAGTGGACAGGTCAATCCTGTACAGGAGGTCATTACGGCAGGAGACAGGGTTAACGGCAGGAGGCGGGAGATCCGGCGTCTTCGTCAACTGTAACAAGTAAGGAATCCCGGGGAGGAGAGTCGACGGGGGCGGAGCCTGCCGTTGTTCATCAGAGGGAAAAAGGAAATCATCCACCGGCTGGTGGGACGCAGTCACTGGGACTTTAAGTGCCCTGGACAGCCGGGTGAGGAGCGCTGTGAAGGCCATGGCATCTGGCGGAAGAGTCGGGTCGGAGGACGCGGGCTGGTCTGGTGGAGGAGTGTGCGAGGAGCGCGAGCCCGAGTAGGCAGACACATCGCGGGCCCCGTCGGGGTCGTCGTCGTCCTCCACAAGGGCAGGAAAGGAAGATGTCCCCTGCGGCGGGGGAAAGGAGGAGGGCCCCCTGACACCGTGTTCAGGGACCAACACAGGGCCATAGACATAGGCCCTGCCCCCCGGGGACCTATGAATAGATGGGTCCCTGGGCAGGGAAGCACCAGCCGATGCCCCATGCCAGGTAATCAGGCTATCCGACGTCCGGCCCCCCCTAGGGGGGGAGAGAAATGCCGGCGCCCCAAACTGAGAAGGAGGGGAAGAGCGGAAGGGCGAGAAAACCGGCGGGTCCGGGCGGTCTGCATAGGACGGGCCCGGGAGGGGGGAATCCCTGGAGCCCGCCTCCAAAGGCCTCGGGCCCGAGGCCGGAAATTGCGCCGTCTGGGCCTCCAGATCCCTGGAGGCAGCCAGGGGAAGAAGCGGCTGTTGGTCGGTGCGATGCCGGGCGGCTGCCCCCGCATCGGGGGGGTGGGCCGGGCCCGGGGCCTGAGTTGGCGCTGGCAGCGCTGGGCTCGGCGTGCGGCGCGGCCGCTGTCCCAGGGTGGGCGCCGACAGACGGGCTCGCGAGGGGGAGCAGGTCGGGGAGCGCGGCTCCGCCTCCTTCCTCTTCTTCTTCTTAGGCTTCCTGGAGGAGGAGGGGCCCTCCGAGGCATCGCGCAGCCGCTTGGAGGCGGAAGAGGACGGCAGCGCGGCTGGCGGATGGAAGGAGGAAGAGGACGGACGAGGAGAGGAAGGGACGGCGAGCGGAGGGGGACCCTCAGCCGAGGGGACTCCCGAGGTGAGGAGGCGAGGTGTTGAGGGAGGGAAGAGAGCACGCTCGTAAAGGAGCGCTTTCAGGCGGGTGTCCCTCCTCTTCCATGCCTGTGGCGTCAGGGCCTTGCAGGTCGGACACGAGGAGACAGGGTGGGCCTCCCCCAGACAGAGGAGGCAGCGGTCATGGGCGTCCGAGTCGGGGAAACTCGCCCCACAGACCGCATATCTCTAAAAACTGGAAGCCATGAAAAAGGAAAACAACAAACGTCCCTAAGGAGAGAACTTCCAGAGCTGCATGCTTTTGCGCGGAAAAAAGGGAACTGACTCTGAGCACGTGGTCTGGAGAGCAGGGGCGGGGTGGTACTTGGTTAATAATTTATTAGAATTTCCGGAACTGTTGCACGTGGGCATCAGAATACCACATGTGTGCATTCCACAGAGACCACGAGAATGAAACTGGCAGGAAATGGGAATTTCTCCTTGCATGAACTGAGGTGCTTTATACAATTTTCAAAGATCTGTAAGATCTCAACCACTGCACGTCACCATGAACCTCTTAATGTGGTTATCAAAAGAAATCTCTACAGATTTGTACTCTTTGTTAGACCACCAATCATGGTCCAGAGTGGTGTCCTTGGAGGAATATTAAAGAGTGTTTTGCAAGTTAAATGTGGATGGATACAATGGGAAACAAGACTGGAATATAGAAAAACAGTTCAACATTTGGGTTGGTGCACAGTCACTGAATTTCAGCCTGTTAGTACAATCTTTGATATTTTGGAAGAGCAACAGAAGCAAAGGCTCTTTAATATTTATTTCTAAGCAAAAATGTACAAGTCCATGAACCAATAAAATATTAATCAAGGCCATTGATTTCAAAATAGAATCACAAAGCTCAGCTGAATACCTCTTTCATCTCCTGCATGAATGTTGATGAATTTGTTTCTATATCATCATCCATACCTATTCTTGTAAATATTTGGTCAGCAATCCTAAAAGAAGAATATTCTGCAGGGACGAAAGAACCTGCAGATGAAAAAAGAAAAAAAAAAGGAGGGAAAGTTTAATTGCAAAGATCCAATTTAATATTATATTGTTGTTTTGGGACTTCAACTTAATTCTGACTGAAGGCAACACTAGCACAGGGATTTCTTGACAGAATTTGTTCAGAGGGGATTTCCTTTGCCTAACTCTGAGGCTGAGAGAGTGTGAGTTGACTAAGGTCATCCAGTAGGTTTCTATGGCCGTGCAGAGATGCAAACTCCGATGTCCAGAGTCATGGTGTAGTGATTTGAGTATTGAATTATGACTTGGAGACTCATATCTGAACAAATCTTGTCAATAAAAACCCTTGGTAGATTCACATTATGATGTTACAAGTCAGAAAGCACTTGAGGACTCAGAACATACTTTCCCTCTCCTATGGAATCATTGCTTCTAAAGAAATCAACAAGAGTTTAATATTACATACCAATTTGTGCCATAATCTGAGAAAGAGCTATCTGTTTTAAGTAGGTTGACTTTCCACTCATATTTGGTCCTGTAATTATGACAACATTGCTTCCTTCTGTGATATAAGTATTGTTGCAAACAGGTTTCTCTAAAGATATTTTTTCAAGAACTGGATGCCATCCTTGCTTTATTGCTAATGTATCAGTAAACTCTGGACGTACTAAATAAAGACAGCAAAATAGTACAATATGTTTACTGATGTTGCTATTAACAAAAATATTGTAACTTCACTTTGACTGAGCTTGTAGGATCATTTAGTTTCTGAGAACTCCAGTAGTTGAGAATTTATGTGTGAAATCTTCAGCTTTCACAATCTGTCATCACACTCCCAATAATGGGGAATTTGATATTATTCCTGGTGGTTATCAAAATAATATTGTTTTTGGAGGGGGAAAAAGACCTGAAGAGAAAAGAACAAAACCCCATAGCCCTCTATGACCTAAGACAGACTCTTAATACCGAATCAGTCTGTCATTGAAATTCCTTCTCCATAGCTTTGCTCTCTTTAGTCTACAACAGTGGTTCCCAACCTTTGGTCTTCCAGGTGTTTTGGACTGCAACTCCCAGAAATCCCAGCCAGTTTACAAGTTGTTATGCTGGATCTGTATTTTGACCCACTTTGGGTTCTGTTTAGGGAGAAAGTCAGGATATAAATTGTTGTTGTTGTTGTCGTCGTCGTGGGACCTGAAGTCCAAAAACACCTGAAAAACCAGGGGTTAGGAAACACTGGTCTACAACATCCCAAGTACTTACATGTTGCTGCAGGAAGTCTTTAATTGTATTGTTAACATCATTTGGTGCTCTAAATGGATTAATTGGTAATTTCAGGAAATAAATCGCAATAAATGGTATTTTTCCCTATGTAATAATACTTACCATAGTCAGAAAGTGTGCAAGCATGGGCAAATGACTGCAACATATCTAGCATTGACACAGTGTCAGAGAGTTTGTAGAGGCAATGAATATGTTCATAGATTTCACTCAGTAGTTTACACACTATCCTGCAAATACATAGGAGCACAATGTTTTACTGCTCAAAGCAATTTGAGCAAGAGTGTGAATTCATTACAACTCCTGTAAACATCAGCTATATTCCAAAACTACTTTTAATAAACATATAATAGCAATATCACTAATTTTACATAACTCATTTATATCAATACTGGAAAACTTTTCATGATGACAAGAAAGAAAGTGATTACTGGATTAATTTTAGATGAATTAGTTACTAAAGTTTGTTCTGTAAAACAGTTCAAGATCCACTTCAAGAAAGTGCTACAGAGATAGTGAAAATAAATGAATAAACAGTCCCCATGTTCATAGCAGCTTTTTTCATCTAGCCAACTTCATTAGTTTTATGTTGTTTGTGATTATTCTACATTAAGGAGAAAACCAATTTTTCTTAAATGCCATTATAAGGAATATTTGGGGGAAAATAACCTGACATACGCTATTTAATGATGGAATAGACATTTGGGGTCTTGGAGATTCAATTCACCTTTTAGGTGTTCTCTGTTGGGTTTACGTAATACCATTTATAAGACAAGGGCCTATTTACACAATCCAAATGAGGCATGGCACAGGTGAATTGATCTGTAGCATACATATAACATACAGGGCTGATCTGCCCTTAATGCAGTCTTATCCTGAGTTCCTCAACGCTGGGGGATGCTCTGAAGCTTCCACAAAGCTCTGGAGCTTACCTGCACTTTGGGGATGTGTAGCTAGGCCATTTCCAGGCCAGAACCAGTCATCCTGCTTAGTGGCCCCGGGACAGGGGGTGGGCACTAACCGTAATCATCCTGTCCTTAATGTAGTGGTAACCATAGGGCGCTAAATTGCTGGTCATGACTTGTCACAAAGACTGATGTCAGACCAGTCACAGAAATACAGGAGCAAAGGAGGGGGCAATCCCTCCTTTCCAATTTCTCCTCTCCCTAGTGGCTCTCATGTTTAAAGGACAGGATGGTGGTGGTATGGGTAGCTGCCCAATGGCATTGAACTGGGTTCAGACCACAAGGTCAAGAAGACCCCTTCGCGTTGTCTGGATGGCTTGGTGCTGTGCTATGCGAGTACCCTCTAGCTGCCAAGCTGAATTGGAGGCTGGCTGTGCAGACTCCCTCAGGGCTGATTTGTAAAACCTGACTCTGGATCAGCTTTGGCATAAGTAACATGTAGAGATGGACCCAAAGACTCCAGAATTCCTCATGATCATTAACAAGACTTTTTGAAGTAATGATAGATATAGCTCAGTGAAAACAGCAATCCATTCTACAGATTTGGTGGGGAGAAAAGCAAATTTGGAATTAAAGGAAAGGTGAAAATAAAACCACCACTATATTTAGAGCAAGGTTGAGTGACATCTGAATAAGGAAGGAGTAGACATCTGATATGTGGACTTCAGCATAGCTTTTGTAAATCCACAAAATGTTTAGAAAAAGGGCAGCCAAAAGATAAAGGGCAGCCTAAAGTGTTTGGAGCTTTTTAGTTTAGAAATAATATGCAGTGAAGTGGATATAAATCTATGTAGTGTGTGGCGAAGAAGGAAAAGATTTCCTCTTTTTTTTCCTTTTAGTGACAAAATCAGCTAGCAGTAGAATCTAATCTATGATGTGAGATGCTTTAGATGTGTTGGAAGAAGCAGCTCCCATTTCTCTCCCACAGGAAGCTAAGCTGGCCCCTTCCCTTCCTTAATTCCATTGGCAGATAAACATCTTTTTTTCCTTTGGAATAATATCCACATCAAGGAGTATACCACAGAATCACACTGGCTTTGGGGGAACAGCTCCTGTTGCTATGTCACCTGCCTGTGACCTTCCTGAAATCATCAAGACAGTGAATCTATGTTCAACTTTTTCTGGCATTTTCATATATATAAGTGAATATTAAGTGGAATTCAAACTTCTGCCTAAACACATACATCAGAAGCTGTTCTTCCTTGTCCCCCATACTAAAAAATAAAAATTAAAGGGACAGCTGGTATAGATTACACAGGATCATACTAAGGTGTCTTTTGGGTTGAAGGTCTTGAGCCTCTAGGAATAGCTGAGTTTGCTGGCAGATGGTACTACTGAGAGCCATTTTCTGGGAATACCAGACTAAACACATACATCAAAAGCTGTAATGTTTATGTGCAGCAGTCATTTTGCTGTTTAGTTATCTCCAAATATAAACACAAACTAGTGAGAATGAGACTAACAGAAGAAATAATAAAACAAGTTAAGAAAAAATCCCAAACCTTTTTTGAGATGGTCAAAAATCGTTAAACAAAACCCATGAACATAGACCCAAAGGTGTCAAAACCTAGCATATTTGGCACAATAGCCTAAATCCAATCACAACTTCATGCCAGAGAAGACCCACTGAATCCATTACTGAGCCCCTTAATTCAATGTGCCCACTCTTGCTAGAACCAGAAATTGGATTTATGTCAACAAATTTACCTAGGGGGGAAATGAAAATGTTGGAGGTATTCTTACAAGTAGGTCATGTGATATATTTCTCTCAAAGACTCTTGGCATCTTTCATTCATTTTCATTAAATCTGGTGATGTAAAGTTATATACATTTTTCATTTTAGTTATCTGTAGAGAAAATTCAAACCAAACAATAAAATATGCCACATAAGCACAAATAAAACCTCTAAAAACTAAGTGAGTATAATTTGAAAAGCATGAGAGGAATCGCTTTTATTACCGTTCATAATTCTAGCTGGATAATAAAGAAAGCATGAATACAAATTTAAAATATGTGTATGATAGTAACACTGTATAATATCCAAATATAAATGTGGAGGTTTATAAAGAAAAACATTCTCATCCAGGTCTTGTACAAGGACAAGACCATCCAGCCAAGTCCTAACATCTCCAGTACTCCACAAACAGATAGGAAAAGAATGACAATCTTTACACTTTTTCAAAGAAGACCATCACATTGCTTGTTCAGACAAGCTCAGAGGGACAAAAAAGGAAAATAACATGCAAAATTCAAGGAAAAATAAAACTCATAAAAGGGAGGGAGGCTGGCTTAGCTGAACAAGGCTTCACACTAAAACAGAAATAATTATTTTTCATGTTCCAGGTGTGTCAGAGAATTGAAAGGAAGGTTTCACTCCTCTGAAGTTATGTATTCTGCTGCCCGAAATGTTTAAGGTCAAGCTCTACACAGCCACTACAAATAACAGGGGAAAGCGATGTATAAATCATAAATATTCACAAAACTTTTTTTTGTTCTTACAAATATTCTAGAGAGATTATTTTATCATTTTAGAGTTGTATAGCTTTACAGTTAAAAACAGCTCTTTTTCTCTAATTTTCTATCCGAGTACAGTACATTAGGGGCCATTGTGTGGCCATTGTTCTGGTATCTATAGTCTTTGTAATTCAAACAATTTTTTTACTGTGTACTCTTTTTATGTTTGATTGATTTTATTGTTTATGGAATTGTATGGATGTTTATAAGCTTTTAACTGTTTATATTATTGTGGCATCGAATTGTGCCGGTTTTGTAAACCGCCCGGAGTTGCCCTTGGGCTGAGAAGGGCGGTATAGAAATATAGTAAATAATTAATTAATTAATACATATGTAGATTGAGATATTTGCGATTCTTTTCTTCTACCTTAAACACGTCAAGTTATCCATGTTTAAACAATTTGCCCTCATTCCAGTGTAATGTACTCTCTTGGTTAACCTGCATTATCCATGGCATCCCATAACATCCAGCTTCCCCAGTAGCACTGTACAGGAAAAACATTGCCACTCAATCACTACAAGAGATGCTTGTAGTATATGTATGAAATGTTTTAAGAAACCCAACGTATTAAAAACCATGTTTCAACTTTTTCCAATCTCATAACAGTAAAACATAATGTCAACTCCTTGTGATGGAAAAATTAAAATAATGTAAAAAAATTAAGTATAACAGGTTTCAGAAGCAACATCTTCAAAATATGTACCTTGGTAAATTCTGAAGGAAGCTGACCATTGTGTATTGCTGCACAGTCAGCACTCATCTGAATAAAAAATCCTCGAGCTGAACTAAAACTTGTTCTCAAAGGAAGGCTATATTTTTCTGCAAGCTGTGCTATCATTCCTTAATAGCAAGATGTAAAACACAAACATTTTTATATAATAAAATCAACCACATTATATGCACAATAAAATTCCTAATTGTTTCAGGGAAAATCTTGACATTTCTTATGCAGAATGGATCTGTTTGCAGAAGATGTATCAAATAAAGGGAAAACATTAATATTTTAAAAACTTGTTTTTGTTTCAATGTTGGTAAAATGAATAGAAAAAATAAGACAAAATACCCTGAAGAATAGAAATTGACATGGCTTGACAACAAAGGGCACATCTACACCACTTAGGCCAGTGTGTAGTCAGATCAGCCTTGCAGTGCCTAAAGACCACTAAAGGCTGACCCAGCTTAACTCGGGGAAAGGCCATTTCAATGAAGTTGTACATTGGGTTAAACTAATTTAGGAAAAACCCAACTCCGAACACATAAGTCAGGCTCTCCCCAAGCTAGATACAGGCAATTTCCCCCTTTGTGAGTCATGAGAACCAGTAGAAAAATGCCACCCCCTGAGATAAGAAAGGTGTCCATACTGCTATAGACAGAAGCGGGGGGGGGGGGAGGAAGGGGGGGAAGCTGCCTAATGCGTCTGGCATGGCAGGAGGGATTCCTTGCCATTGAGGTTGCTAAGGCATTCCTTTTGGGCTGCCAAATGGGCTCAAACAAGACACTAAAAGCGGTTTAGGCCCAATTTTAGTGTCTTTTAGAGAGACTATTCAGGGGGAAATTAAGAGAATATGTATGTGTTTTCATAAATGTGATCAACAAGAAATAAAAAAAATGGAAAAACACGCTTTTAAGTAAAGGTTCAGGATCCCTTAAAACACAGGTGTCAAACTCAAGTCCCATGGGCCAAATCCAGCTTGCCATGTCATTTTATATGGCCCTCCAGATGCCGGATTACCACTCCTGTATTTCTCATCATTAGACATCATGATTACAGCAGATGGGAGTTGTGATACAGTAACATCTGGAAGGCTGCCATTTTTCAGGATAGTGGGATTTAAATTTAGATACAAGGCTTGTGGTTATGATGTATGACCTTAAAATGTATTTTAGCTGTTACCCAACCTCAGAGATAAAAATGCTGTTTTGCTGCCGTTCTCATTATCCCCAGTCCACATGGCAGATAATCAGAAGTGATGAGAGTTGTCATTCAATAATACCTGGGTACCTATACTGGGTTAAAACTAAAGAGCACTGACCACTATGTAATACATATATATACTTGATCCTCTGTATCCAGAGATTCTCTGTCCATGGATCCAATGGCTCTTTGAAGCCAGCCATTAGGTTGATGTGGCCCTTGATGAAAATGAGTTTGACACCCCTGCCTTAAAAGAATCCGTTCAGTTTATCCTGTTGAACCATCTGGTAATGTATCTCAATTAGAAAGGGCTGAATCCATAACTGAACACGCCCCCAATGAAGCTTGTGATCCAGCTAGTGTTCAGAAGCATGAAGCTGTTCAGATATTGGTAAAGAACATACTTTCTGTGAAATAATGAGCAGCTCACTCTCAGGAGAATTCCTAATTTCTGTATCTGAAATGTATTTATTCTTGCAAACTATATGCATTATTTCATATTTGAGAAGAAGCATTTCGGTTATAAGGTACCTGCAATATCATCCACAATTTCAGTGTATGTTCTTCGTGCTATGTCAAGAAATTCATTGATATTAGGCTTTACTGCATAGCACTTCTGAGTTCTCATGTTCAAACATCCTTTTGTATATCTTGTTTCATCATTAATGACAGTTTTAATTTTTTCAAGTATGATTCCAAATCTAAAACAATTATACAGGATGGTAGAAATGCTATATTTACGTATGTTAATAACTGTCATATATATCTATATTATATAGCAATAATATAAACTTGTTGCTATAGCCACACAATCATATCTAAAGTTATTTTAGATAACATTATAAAGCTAGTGACATTTTTAAGTTAAAAAGACTCCTCAGAACTAATGAGAAGTATTTTATCAGAGTTTATTGTTTAAACAAATTCCTATGTAAATCAATCAGCTTATTTAATAGTACTTTCTTATGTTTAGAATATCAATAAACTGGTTTAATTAAAATGAGCAACAGTTTCCTGTCAGGAGTGACTTGAGAAACTGCAAGTCGCTTCTGGCATTCAAGAATTGAGCAACTGTGAATTGCATTTAATGTAATTTTCTTTTATTAACAGGGATAGAAAGACTTCTGAAAATAGTACTAATAATTACTGTCCACTAATCAAATTTATATAGTTTTATAATATTAATGGTAAAATAAAAGTAATAATTAATGCAATGAAATTTGAGTAAACTTTTAATAAAATATGGAATAGAAGACATACCAGCAATAGTGCTCAAGACAATATTATATTTATAATACTGTACCTTTTATCTTCCAAGGAACTATAATAAGCCTTTAACAATGGTGTTTTATAGACTTTCAAAGCATCCTGTTGAAATTAATATGAAAATTTTATATTGTAAAATGTACACAAATGTTAATGAACTCTATTGTTCTCATAAAACACAGCTGCATTCATATTTATTCAGAAGTAAGTTCTCTCCATTTCAGTTATGCTTCCTCTCAGATAAAGTAACAGGATTGCTATACAGTCATCTTGAATTAAATGAGTTTACAACCGAAAGACCAGGTTCACAATTTGAAAATATGCTTAGTGAGTGCATTTTTTCTGGAAGACTTCATGTTGGGAGGCATATGTCAAGGAGTATCTTTGCCCAGTTTTAGTTTGTGTGCTAACTGCATCCCATTTGCTGATGAGCTGCTCTGTCTCCAGTACATGACCTCGTGATTAATTTTGGATCACTGGCATTGGGAAATAATGAAAAAAAATCCTAAAACAACATACAATAATTAAGTCACAGCAGGACTGCCATTGTACAATGTACTTAACGTTAGGGAAAAATACAAATGTTTAAACTTGTTATTTGTCATTGAGTTGGCTTCAATGCTGAATATGTGAAAGACACACCTCCAACAAGCCCAGCCATCTACAGCCCTGCTCAGATCTTATAAATGCAGAACTACAGCTTTCTTGATTGAATCAATCATTCCGTTATGCAGTCTTTCCCTTTTCAAACTGTGGTCTATTTTTGCCAGAATGTTAATCTTTTCCTGCTGTCCCTCTGTCAATACCTTCATTTCCATGGGGGTTAACATATAACTATGATTTCACTTCAGTTGTCTTGGTTTTATTCTATAGAATCCTGAGATTTGCAGTTTATGCAGGGATATTTAGTGATCTCAGCCAGAGGGCTCTGCTGTCTCATAAAACTACAATGCCCACAGGATGCAGTGGAGTTATACTGCTAAAATTATACAGTATGATAGTGTCCCGGGTCTGATCCTTTATGATGGTGGTACTGAAATGCAGTAGATAGGATAGCAATTTCCTCCTTGGGCAAATTAAAACAGTGATACAGAGTATTAAGGGTTATAAAAGTCTGACGTTTGAGATCCTTAGGGTCTAATGATAACAGTAATTGGTGTTTAAAAAAGAATATGATACCTTCAAAGGCTCCACAAGTTCCAGGGTGTGCTTCAGATAAATTAAATTTGTTATCTTCGATTCAGATGCATTAAACTGTTAGAGAGCAGAGAAGGTATATAATTTATCATCCTTTAATATAATATGGCCTAGATTCTCTCGGGTTTACTACTATTATTGTCTGTGTCTCAGCTGAAACCCATATTTCCCTTGTAGGAAAATGTTAACTTACTTCTTTTCCTTACCTAACCACTCACTGTTTCCTTTACTGGATTGGCACCATTGCAACATAATGATTCTAACCTTGATATGAGGTGATTCTATAAAGGTCAATTTTGAAGCAAAATAGAAAGCCAAGTAGAATGTGTCAAAAACAGGGAGAGAAAGAGCTGCTGCCTCTAAGGTCAACAGCATTAGATGTTTAATAACCCAACACAGCTCAAAAGATTTTCCTTAGGGGTACTTATGTGCACAGCACTGTGTCATATAGGAATACTAGGCCATTAAACCTTTACTGTTGCACACTGTGTGATTCTCTCTTCTTTTCCCACTTAAAATAATACAGAGTCACACAAAAAAAATAAGGTATTTTTCATACTTGAGGTAGTATACAAGTATATACAAGTAAACAGAAGTATATTCATTTGTATACAAGTAAACAGAAGTATATTCATTTGTATATTATAAAGAAAAATATTTATTTGTTTTTAAATTGATTGAAAAGGACTTGTGAGCATTTTGGAATGTCAAGGGTATCAATAAAAAAATTAAGGGAAAACAGGTATGTTAAACAATGGTAGGTGACAGGATAATTGACTTGAGTTCCTAACAGTTTGGAATCCCGAAAGAGCTAACTGAAAAGGAGTGTGTCGCCAGTGCAATTTTAAAAAATTGTATCCAGTACCATATACACAAGATTAAAAAAACTTTCAAGAGGATAAAATAGATAAGGGCTATTTTAAGGGAACGGGAACAAAAGGAAGTTGTCTCTCAAATATTCGTCCATTCTCTATGACCTATGAATGGTCTTATAGTTTCACAGTAGGTGAATCTCTGAAAACATTTTTATTAGAGCAGGGAGAGCCACTGCAATATTGTAGTGCAAGATTCCACTTGCTTACTTCTGCTACAGAAGATGGTCCTATGGCTATCACAGGGGCAGTAAATAGTATCACACAATGTAAAATATACAACACTTGGCAATCAACAGCCTCCCCAACTTCTTTCACAAACTAGAGGTAGGACAAAATAAGAATCTTTCCACCACATTGTTCCATGTAGATCAACAACAATCTAATCACTTAGATCCATACCTCTGCAATCAGATTACTATATAACTACACTGCTACAGAGGGCAAGTTAATAATTTCTTATCTATTTTATTGTTAGTTCCTTGTGGGTCTTATCATTTTTGTTAACATATTCAATATGGTTTATTCTAACAAATTGTTTAGCTTAATGACATGAAAACTAAGATATACTGCTAGCACATTCATTGAGAATCAGCATATGATTGCTAAGTAAATGTTTTCAAGGAACAGTAATGCTTCGGGTTCATAACACTGGATATGCTTGTTTCTAGTTAAAATTCAGAAATATCTCAGGATGTATTATTTGCTTTTTCTACATAATTTATATTCTACCTTTCCACTTGTAAAAGCATATCTGTGCCAGCTCACAAAACTTAAGATTTAATATTACCAAGAAAATACATAATGTAAGCCCAACCTTTCAATTTATAACAGCTCATAAAGACACTGTAATACATAAAATTACATTACAATGATTTGGTTACTCTGAATAAAATATCTGTTTATAATAGTTAAAGTTAAGAACATTGTGTAGGTTATTACAACCAATATAACATGCCAAAAAATACTTTGAAAAAAGAATAATGCGAAGTCTCTAAGGCTGTAGTACTTTCATGAAGAATGAAACTATAGTCCAATATTCTATAAATTTAATGTTGATGTCTGGCAATCTGTGAACATGTGGAATTCCTCTATCTAAAGATTCCTCTTTAAGAAATAAAAATACACAAATTTAACATGCAAAATATATACGCTACCAATTGCAAATTAGACAGATATCGTTCAAGGTTCAGATTTCCCCACAATAAATACAGAAGTGAATAATCAGAAACCAGCTATTCATTAAGTATAAAGTAAAAGATACATACCGTATCCTGTTTTGGAATTTGAACTAAAACTGAAAGTAGTTGTTCAGTGTCCAGGAATCGTGAAATAACTAAAAATAAGTCAAGCAAATCATTAATCTCAATCAATAAAAATTAAAGTCAATGTACTGAATTTAATCACACTGTTATACCTGGGACAAATAGAGCAAACCTAAGTGGGACTAGGAGGGCATTACAAAGAAGATCAACTAATTAATCCCCAGCTCAGCTGGTTAGCGATGTCCAGGGAAGGTGGTGAGTATCTCCCTAGACTTTTCAGCTGAACAAATTCAGACTTTGGAAGCAGTAAAATTGGCAACCATAACTACAACATACTCTCAGTTAACTGGGACTCAAACAGCTGGCAAAAAAACCCCCAAAAAGCAATACTTTAAATAAAAGGCTGTTTTTCGAACACAGTAAAACTGTGTATGTTTGCCTTTATTTGCCTTATTAGCTTTTACTTACTGTATTTAATATCAAATCAATACAGAGTTTATAGTATAATATACTTTTAGTTAGGCCTATTTTTAATTCAAAAAATTTCAATTAGATATGCTCCAGTTTAAACAGATCCAATTCCTTAAGCCACTCCTCATAGGACATAGTTTCCAGACCTTTTACCATTTTTCTTTCTTGAATCTTTCTTGAATTGTGGTACCCAGAAAGAGACATGGCATTCCATGAAATGCATAACTATAGCAGAATAGAGTGGTACTATTGCTTCCTTCAATCTAGACATTATATACCAATTCATGCAACTTTGAATCACATTGGGATTTTTAGTTCCTCTACCACACTCATATTCATCTTGTAGTCCAGTAAAACTCCTAATTCCCTTTTGCGTGTACTGTTGTTAATCCAGGTGTCACCCATCCTAAATCTGTGCATTTCATTTTTCTTTATGTCATATTTCTCCCTGTTGAAATTCATTTTGTTAGTTTTGGCCCAGCCTTCCAATCTGTTAAAGTTATTTGATTCTAATCCTGTCCTCTCAAGTATGAGCTAATCCTAATTTGGTGTCATCTCCAAATTCAATACACATGAACTTATAATGATGTTGAATACCACTGGCCTATGACAAAATCCCATAGTATCCCAATAGTCTCACCACTGGTAAGCACCCTTTGGCCAGTTAAACAATTCCCAATTTGCCTAATAGAGGCATTGTCTAGGACTAAGTCATATTTTACTAGGCTCTTTGTGAGAACAACATGGGGAACTCTGTCAAAACCTTTTCTGAAATCAAGATATGCTACATTCAGAATAGTCCCTTCATCAACCAAGCTTGTAATGCTACAAAAAAGAGAGAGATTAGTCTGGCATGACCTGTTTTTGAGAAACCCGCATTGAATTAGTGGTCATGGCATTCCTTTCTAAGTGTTTCCACACTCACTGTTTTTTCCCTTTTTGAAAATGGGAACTACATTTGTACTTTTCCAGTCCGCTGGAACTTCTCTTGTTCTCCAAACATTAGCAAATATGATTGCTAGTGGTTCTGAAATTACTTCTGCCGGTTCTTTTAATACTCTTGAATGTAATTAATCTGGCTCTGGAGATTTGGATTTGGATTCATTCAGTGTAACCAGGTATTCTGTGTTGCATTTCTCTTACTGCATCATCTGTTCCATTTCCCTAAATTGAGCACTACTTTCCTTTTGAGAGAAGACTGAGGCAAAAAAAATACTGTGTGGATCAGCATCTTCACTATCCTGTTAGCATTTCACCATCCCCTTCATGCAGTGCCCCTGCCTTTTCCTTGTTCTTTCTTTTGCTACAGATAGAACCAAAAAGCCCTCTAATTGTGAGCAAGCCTGTGCTCACTCTGCACTTTGGCATTTTGACTTTCTACCTACACTGGCTAGCCATTTGTTTTAATTCCTCTTTGGTGATTATCCTCTTTTATCCATTTCTTTTGCATGTCACTTTTAAATATTAGCTCAGTTGAAAATTCTTTAGTCATCCCCCCTGGTTTCTTGAGTTCTCTCTCATCCCTCCTGGTTTCTTTAGTTCACTCTCCCTTTTTAGAAATTCCCATCCATCATTTATTTATTTATTTATTTATTTACTACATTTGTAGACCGCCCCTCTCAGCCCTAGGGCGACTCACGGCGGTGTACAACATATAAAAACCAGGTACAATTTCAACAAAGCAATTACACATCAACAATAAACAACAGCACTATCAATAATACAGTTACACTAAATCATTCGCCACGTCTCATCGTTGAATCATAATCCGAATCTCATTATCCATGTTCCGTTCTAATCGTCATTGCCAATTGTTGCAGCACTTACACAAACGCCTTCTCAAAGAACCACGTCTTTAGTCTCTTGCGGAATGTCATAAGGGAGGGCGCCACTCTGATGTCCACAGGGAGGGTGTTCCACAGCCGGGGGGCCACCACCGAGAAGGCCCTATCCCTAGTCCCCGCCAGGCGTGCCTGAGAGGCGGGCGGGATCGAGAGAAGGGCCTCCCCGGACGATCTCAAAGTCCTCGTGGGCTCATAGGCCGAGATGCGGTCAGACAGGTATTTTGGGCCGGAACCGTTTAGGGCTTTGTAGGCCAACACCAGCACCTTGAATTGGGCCCGGTAGCAAATCGGCAGCCAGTGGAGCTGGTACAGCAAGGGCGTTGTGTGCTCCCTGCGTCCCGCTCCCGTTAGTAACATGGCTGCTGAGCGCTGGACTAGCTGGAGCTTCCGGGCCGTCTTCAAGGGCAGCCCCACGTAGAGAGCGTTGCAGTAGTCCAGGCGGGATGTAACAAGAGCGTGTACCACCGTGGCCAAGTCCGACTTCCCGAGATACGGTCGCAGTTGGCGCACAAGTTTTAACTGTGCGAAAGCTCCCCTGGTCACCACCGAGACCTGGGGTTCCAGGCTCAGCGATGAATCCAGGATCACACCCAAGCTGCAAACCTGTGTCTTCAGGGGGAGTGTGACCCCATCCAGCACAGGCTGTAACCCTATACCCTGTTCGGCCTTGCGACTGACCAAGAGTACCTCTGTCTTGTCTGGATTCAATTTCAATTTGTTCGCCCTCATCCAGACCGTTACAGCGGCCAGGCACCGGTTCAGGACCTCGACAGCCTCCTTAGTAGCAGGTGGAAAGGAGTGACAGAGTTGGACATCATCTGCGTACAGATGACACCGCACCCCGAAACTCCGGATGATCTCACCCAGCAGCTTCATGTAGATATTAAACAGCATGGGGGACAATAAGAAGTGGAACAGTGGGATGAGGAGGAGGGTGGGGATGGACATCGGAGGAGCCCGGGTCGGGGGGGGTCGCGGACAGTATTCCGGCTGTGCCGAGGGGACGGAGGGAGCCGGATTGGGGGGGGGGAGTGGAGGACGGACATGGGGACACTGAGGTCTTCTGGGGAGGTGGGAGGAGGGGTGGCTACTCCAGCCAGAGGAGGAGGGACGCAGCTTCATGTAGATATTAAACAGCATGGGGGACAGTATAGAGCCCTGTGGAACCCCACAAGTCAAAGGCTGTGGCGTTGAACAGGTGTCATCCCTCATTAAATGCCTTTTATAGCATTCTTGATCACAGGGATAAATCCAATATTTCCTGAAGTTTACTGAAATCAGCTTTCTTAATCTAAAATATATATCTGATTATGTTTGATGTCCTCTTCCACTGTATAACAAACTCCAGAAGAACATGACCTCTCCCACCTAAAGATTCTGCCGCTAAAAGTTCATTTTGAGGATGGTCAGGCTACTGCCAAAACAGTCACTCAATTGTAGCAGGTTCCAAATGATGGTTTTGCACATTTGTAGGCAGCCCATTTGTCTCAGTCACAGAAATTATGATGAAGAACCCAGGGGTTCTCAAATTGTGCTTCATGGAGCCCTTGGAGCTCTGTACGTGATAGTAAGGAGCTCCACGGCAACAAGCTGCTTTCCGACTCCTCCTCTTTCCTCCTCCTGAGAAATTTAGAGAAATTAAAAATTTAGAGCTGCCAAAACAGCATCCTCCTCCTCCCAGGACACAGACTCTTTCTCTCCAGTGACTCTCACTGCCCAGACTCTTTTTCTCAATGTCCAGACCCGCCCCCTGACTTCGTTGCTTCTAAACCCCTATTTCACTCCCACCTCTCAGGGGGTGCTTTGATTCTGCTTTTCCTGCATGACAGAAGGGAGTTGAACTAGATGGCCCCTGGGGTTGCTCCTATTATTATTATTATTATTATTATTATTATTATTATTATTATTGCTACTACAAACACTGGGTGGAAATTGTTTGAGGTGCTTTGATTGTGCTTTTCCTGCATGGCAGAAGGGTGTTTGACTGGATGGCCCCTGGGGTCTTCCACTGAAATACTGTTAAGTTTGTGTTGGCTAAAATTGTTCTTCAAAAGTTTTCCATATAAATATTTCTTGGTTCTTCATGAGAAACTCTAACTTCACAAAGGACTCAGCGGCTGAAAAAGTTTGAGAACCCCTGCTTTAACTAATTCCTAAATGAGCTGTTGGAATTTAAAACACAACTGAAGACATATCTCTTTTGTCTCATGTATTTTAATATATGCTTTTATGATTGCATGGCAACTATATGCTTGATTTTGTTGTGCCCTACCTTGATCTGAAAAGAGAAGCAGGTAATAAATTAAAAATTACTACTACTATTATTATATTACTTAATATAAGTAATATTTCATCTCTTTTATACAGCAATATCAGATTACCTGACTGAAGGCCAAAAAAGAATTCCTCGTTCTGAAGAAGTTCTTGAACAGAATCCAATCTTGTGTTAATGGTATCCGCATCAACCAGAGGCTCTAGAATATTAGACCTAAGTCTTCTGCTTCCCCCTGGTGTTTTAGTATAATTTAGAACGCCAAAAAGAGTGTGACCATTCCTTTGAAGACAGCACACATTTGAAAAATAATCTCACAAAACAAAGTTGCCAAAAACCAATGCAAATATTGACATTATTATGCAAATCTGCTTTTAGAACAGCTAATATATGCACAAGTTACACTTCCTTCCATTTCTTAAGATCAGCACATAGAGGAGAACCCACCAGACTTTATAATAGTACCCCTGCTCATGTCACCTCCACACAAAGGAAATTCCTGTCTTGTGGTCAATTCAGTGACTTTACTGCACAGTACCTTGGTAATAATTTCTATACTATTTCCTATTGCCATCCTTTATGCACTCATTTGTTATAACTCCAGATAGCACAATTGTTAAATCACTGAAATCTGTTTTTATTTTCTGCATTGACATAGCATTCCCCAACCTGATTTGTGGTCTGTTTGTTTGGAGTTTTTTTTTTTTTTACAACAAACAAACCCAGTATCACTAGGCAGTCCAATAGAGCCTTCCATAGCAAATGGCTATTGATGTTTTTCGGGGGCCATGTGCTCATCACTAATAGCATCTTGTTTTCTAGTACTGTCTGTTTTACTGCTTCCATTTGATCACAGATGGCATTAGTGATGAACAAATCTTTGTTCCTTCTGTGCCCGTTTCTGTTTCTATGGAACAGTAGATAACTATTGCTGCTGATTTATTCTTGTTTAATCTATTCATTTCAATGGGAAATGGTAAGACACAAGTGTTTTTCAAAAAATAAATTTCTAATTGATATTGAAAGGACTTGGTGAAAGGAGATACTTCTAAATAAAGGACTATTTTGGTTATGGAGGAAGGCATGGATGGATGAGACACACATATTAAAAATGAATTCATCTATATCAGTGGTTTCCAATCTTTGGGCTTCCAGGTGTTTTGGACTTCAACTCCTACTGTTCCTAACAACTGGTAACCTGGCTGGCACTTCTGGGAGTTGAAGTCCAAAACACCTGGAGGCCCAAAGGTTGGGAACCACTGATCTATATTAATGGATTAAATGGTTTGGGGATGGATGGCATCTAGTTTGCTTCTTTCTAGGTTTCATGGAAAGCCAACTATGAAAACCCTTTCACAGCAAGTGTTCTCAGCACACAAAAAAAAATTGGGGCGAGGAGATGCAGAAAGGCCCACTAGAAAAAAAAACTGTTCTAAACCTATTATTAATGAGATAATTGCTATCATACAAGGGAGAATTCATCAATTATTACGCAACAAGCACCCAGCACCATAAAACACTTTCAGTATATAGATGTGCTGTTAAAGATCCAAACTGTGAATTTTGCCAATTAGTATGCAATTGTAAATACATCAAAAACTTTGTTCACATAAATAAACATGGTTTATCAGTGAAAAGGAAATAATTTACTTAGACTGTTTCAAATGAAACTATTGTGGTTAGAACATATGAACAAATGAGACAAAATTAGCTAATCATTTGCATAGATATTATCAAGAACTGGAAGTATGGCAGAATAGTTTGCTTTACCAGGTAAAGAAAAATTGATTTCACAAGAATTTACATTAGAAATATAATGAATCTGCTGCCACATTTACCATTTATGTCTGCAGTGGGGGTAGGAAGAGAGATTTAACATGGAGAACTAGCTGTAGCAATTCGAAAATGGACCCAAAGGTTTACAAAGCATTCCAAGAAGGAGGCTGAGAAGCCAGAGGTTAACTGGGCAATCCCATGCAAATCTCATCTATGTCCCACTAAATTTAGTGGGACTTACTAGTAAATTGGTGATAAATCAGAAAAAGAAAGTAGGAGACCAAAGTAATCAAACTGATCCTCTTTCCAGTATTGAAAAACTAGACATGCTTGTATTTTCTCCTAATTTTTTTTAAAAAGAAGAATGACCTCATAATGGGCACTAAACCAAAAAGCTGTGTCAAGATGGAAATTTTGTGGCTCGCTGGCCCTGTGGGTCAGTCTCATTCTTAGGATCCCTTCCAGACCCTGACAATCCTCCTAATTTACCCCCTAGAACAATTTTGGGACCTGTAAAATAACTCTAGGGGTGAAACTTAACATTGTTTTGCCCCCATCAAAAAATTGACTGTCACTGGAACATTACTTCCAGTTCCAGAAAGAGGATGGCATTGCAAAGATCAAATGAAACTTCTAACCCTGACTGTCCGTGTACCAAGCTTCCTTGTAAAATCCTAATGACTTAAAATATATTTTCACTTGAAAAACAAACTTCTGTGCTTTCCCAGATATAAATTTATATTTAACAATATATTAACTACAAATATTTAATTCCTCTCTCTCTCTTCTCCACAGGTTAGAAATAAGAAACAAAAAAAATCTTACCTAGGATCCCTGTTGTTGGTTATTAATTCAAGATTTAGGGCTGATGTTGAATCAATCATTGCTGTTTGCTCACTTCCATGGAAACGAATCTTAAGAGACTTAGGTGCATACACTGAATTTTGAATGAACTCAACGTATTTCAGCACAGCTGCAACCGCTGCCAGACAGTAATACCTAGAAAAGAATTGAGCCAAATAAACAAAAATATTTAAAATAAAGCAGTATACTTTTGGCCTGAAAGTGTTTGTGGGTAGCTGAGATAAATTAGCACGGAACTTTAGACTACCCTAAATACAGTTTTGACACTTGCAAGGCAAATGTTCCTGTGTCACTTTCTGAAGAATAGGAAGTTAAAGGAAGATATAAAGAAATGATAGTTGCCATGTGAATCTGTGAGGTTAATAAGCAGTTTCACAATTCATTCCTAGTTTTCTGTATCTAAAAGAGCTTTCTCTATAATAGTACCTTGTTTCTGGAATTCTTAATATGTTTTTAAATTAAACATTTTCCAATACAATAAGAACAAAAATATACAAATAGAAAATGAACATAATAGTAGAGAAAAGGTAAGAACAAAGAGCAGTGAGAAAAGAATTTATATATGACTTCCAACCTTCCTAACAATGATTACACAGAACGGTATAGAGTAGCTTCACCGATCATACTTACTATTCATTTACTTCTTTAGCTTTACCAAATCTATTAATTACCAAAGTTCATAGTTAACATTTTTTTCTCTTCAAAAAGACAAGTAAATGTTCCTTGTCTTTTAGAAATGCCACCAGTTGTTTTTCTTTAATCAATTCTGTTAATTTGAACATTTTGGCCCAATCCAGCAATTTTAGCAGCCAGTCCTCATTCACTTTTATTTTTCCTCTTCTATACACACAGCTCATTCCTGGAGACGCCAGATATGGCCATGGTGGTACGTGCCTTGGTTACATCCCATCTGGATTACTCTAATGCAGTCCATTTGGGGCTGCCTCTTTAAGAACGCTCAAAAACATCATCTGGTCCAAAGAGCTGAAGCCAGATTGTTACCTGGACTGACTACAGGAGCATACAAATTCCTTGTTGCAACAACTCCACTGGCTGCCAGTTTGTTTCTGGGCATGTAAAGAATTTGGGACTTTTCTGAGGAATCGCAGTTCAATCATCTTCAGTAAGTGATCTGTTGCAGGGGAGATACTACTTGTGGTGATAACTGGCCAGACGTGTTTAGAGTGGTGAAAATGTGCTCTCTGGATTAAAGACAGTTCAGGGGATTGCCTATGAGGATCCGTAAGGCCCCCATCTGGCGATCAAATCAACATGTTAATGATGAAGTGATTTCAGATGAAGACAAGAGAGATTAAAATTACCAGTGCAAATGCACAGCCTGAAAATGGGCAAAAAGAACCACAAAACCTATTTATTTATAAAATGGAACTAAGAAAAGCTTTCTGATCACAATGATAAGACCCATACTTTTGGCAAACCTTCTTTCTGTATGCTCAAGAACCTGGGAGTAAACTGGCTTGAAAAGGACTACTTTTTAAAGGACTTTTTCAAAAGAACCTTTAATAAAGAGCAAAAAGTAAAGAGGTCTGTTGAAATATACATGGCAAGGGAACAAACTGAGAATACGAAGTTTTGTAAGAAGCAAAACAGAGGAGAACAGATTTTAAATTGTATTTTCAAGCATGTGCCTGGCTTGGTTGAAATATTAGATTGTGTTGGCAAAAAAAAGATTACTGAATTTGAAGGACACGACCTATGGTTTGGATGACACATATATTTATGGTATAAAGTTTTGTGAGATGTGCCTTATTAAGACAATGGAATAGAAACAAGCCATGGTTATACTATAAGATGCCTTTATGTGTTTCAATACAAGAAGCATTCTACAGGCAGGAAAGAAGTAAATAGCCTAACCTGATTTATTTATTTTTTTGCTATTTGATTAAGAACATGCTCTTAAAGCCTGTCAGTATAAAAGGGTTTTAGCCTGACACCAGATGAGTGTTCCAGAGTTCAGAGGTATTCATTTCTTATTTTCCTTCCAAACAGGCTTGCAATGGTGGTAGGACTAAGAGAAAGGCCTCTCTTGAGCATTTCAGGACCTAGGCAGATTCATATTATTGAACTGTGATTCCTCCCAGAAGCCCCAAATTCCTTACGTTCCATTCATTAGCATCCAAATCAATGGCTTCTGGAAACCAAATCACTATGCTATTTAGGATTTTTTATGGATTCAAAGTGGCAAAAATAAACTTCTGAAACCTTTGGAAGTGGTATGTGACTACTATTATGATGTTTATTACTTTTAAAAACAAGCTGTGTTTTACATATAGTTTTACTTTAAATTCAGAGTGTGAGCAAACTTAACCAAGAGTAGAAGAGGCGTATATAATTATTTAAAATATATTAATAACATGATGATGATAAGGGAAAGTGGAGAAGCAGTAGTTACCATTGTTGTTAATGATGAGAAGAAAATGGGAGTTGCGTGTCTTGTGTTTTGCAATGTTGTATTTATTCCTATTTATCTGTCAGGCAAAATATAAATTATCAGATTGTGGGGTAGACAGGCTGCTCAGTCTGTGAGCTTTTTAGAGGCATCTGGTGGACTACTGTTCGGAAGGAGAATGCTGAACAAGATGAACCTTGGTTTGATTTACTATTTAATCAATTATTATGTACAGCAGAAAGAGGAAGGCAAATTGCAGGTGGTACACCATCTGAAATAATTTTCTGGCAGATAAAGTTATCAAGTTTGTCTGTTCTACAGGAATGACATAAAATCTCCCAGAGGGTGCATCTGATTATATTCAAGAACCATCTGTCCCTGATGAGGACGTGATAAAGAAAATAAATAGTATTAGCCTCTGAGGTGAGCTTTGGGAAACACAACTTAGACAGTATGCAAATAAGCTTTTGTCATGATACAGAGAACATGTAAACATTTCCAACTCATATATACCATATTATGCATAACATTGGACTCAAACTTATTAAACTCAGTTTCTTATTAAACTCAGCTGAGACTGTGCAGTTGCTAGATAATTGTTCGGATGTTTTAATGGACTGGATGGTGATCAATAAACTGAAGCAGAGTTCCAGCATGACTGAGGCTTCATGGATTGGTGGTTCTCAGGTCCAAGAATGGGTTGTATGGGGTTGTACCCTGCTCCAAAAGGAGCAGGTAGTAGCTTGCGAGTGCTCTTAGATCCATCCCTAATCAATGGGCTCTGTGGCTCAGAGTGTTTGGCGCCAGCTTCAACTAGTGTCCTAGCTGCTGCCTTTCCTGGACAGAGATAATCTAACAACTGTAGTTAATGCTCTGGTCACTCCCTAGTTAGATTATTTCTATGTAGGGCTGCACTTGAAAAAAGACTTGGAAGCGGAAGCTAGTGCAAGATGCAGCAGCTCAAATGTTGGCAGAAATATATAGAAAGGATAAAATGCCAGTCTTAAAATAATGGTACTGGCTGCCAACATGTTTGAGGTCTGAAGTCAAGATTCTTGTAATGAATATTAATGTAATGACATTTAAAGTCTTAAATGGCAGGGTAGCGCAATACTTGAAGAAGTCTCTCTCCCCTGAGGCTTAAGATCTATGAGGGGGAGGGTTCTTTGTGTCTCACCAGTGAGGTCAATACACTGTGTCAGGACATAGGAAAGAGACTTTCAACTATGGTACCCCAATTGTGGAATGTTCTCCCTCCTGAAGACTTCACTGGACCAACACCAATGTCATTTATGCTCCAATTTAAAAGTGAGTTGTTCGCTAAAGCCGTCTATCCCCATTAATTCAACCTGAAGACAATTATATATAGTTTTTAAAACTTTAAAAAATCAATCTGTTTCTAACTCATTTTATTAGAAACATAAAGTTGAAAGAGACCTTGTGGGCCACCCAGGCCAACCCCCTGCCAAGAAGCAGGAAATTGCATTCAAAGCACCCCCAACAGGTGGCCATCCAGCCTTCTTATTTATTGCTTTTATCTGTATAAATAAAAATGTAATGTTCATTTGTGGGATTAACATAACTCAAAAACCACTGGGCGAATTGACACCAAATTTGGACACGATACACCTATCAGGACAACAAGTGATCATCACTCAAAAAACACCGAAAAACACAGCGGAAGGGACTTTAAAAGCCAAATACCAAAAAATACATTACTACGTATGCACAAAACCGCATATATACACAAACACATATATACACACACATATATGCATATATACAAACACAAAACACATATACACAGACTGGGCCACAGCAATGTGTGGCAGGGAACGGCTACTCTTATTTAAATTAGCTTACTGGTTTTCAACTGTTTCAATATTATCTGTAAGCCACTCTGAATGTACCAGTATAGGATAGAGTGTAAATATTTTGATAAACTATAAAATAAATTTCAAATTCACTTTCAGCCAGCTAGTTCATCTTCAGTGGGTTGCTGTGAGTCTTCCGGGCTGTATGGTCATGTTCCATAAGCATTCTCTCCTGACATTTCACCCACATCTATGGCAGGCATCCTCATAAGTTGTGAGGTATATTGGAAACTAAGCAGTGGAGGTTTATATATATATATGTGGAAGGTCCAGAGTGGGAGAAAGAACTCTTGTCTATTGGAGGCAACTGTGAATGTTCCAATTAATCATTGCAAAGCCTTGCAGCTTTAAGGCCTGGCTGATTCCTGCCTGGGAGAATCCTTTGTTGGGAGGTGTTAGCTGGCCCTGATTGTTTCATGTCTAGAATTCCCGTTTTCAGAGTATTGTTCTTTATTTACTGTCCTAATTTTAGAGCTTTTTAATACTGGTAGCAAGATTTTGTTCATTTTCATGGTTTCCCCCTTTCTGTGGAAATTGTCCACATGCCTGTGGATTTCAATGGCTTTTCTGTGTAGTCTGGCATGGTGGTTGTTATTTCATCCTCAGTGAGTCATTAATACTCAGCTTTACTTCAATATATTGGTTGTGAGCCTGAAATTAAGCCCTAAATTTTAGGAAGGAAGATGGCATGAGAATAAACTTTTTAAAAAATAGAATTAAGGCTCCAAAGCAGAATGAACACTTTAGAAAAAAGTGAAAGATTTAGAAAAAGCAAACTTAGTCTAAACATAGCCTGTGTAGTCAATAAATAAAACCAACAACAACATTAAATCCTATTGATAGTCCCAGCT